ATTCGTGATCAAATCTTGAAAAGTGTGAAAAACCGACGAAAACAGTCAACTGAATCAGGTTCTTTCCGATCGCTACTGAGATAACTGCAGATATTCTTAGCTTTAACAAAGGGAAGTTGCGTCATGGCTGAGTGTAAAATAAATTATCATAAGCGTGAACTGTAGAGGTACCATATTTGTCGACGACAATGTGAAAGGGAAAATCTCTGTCAGTACCAAGTCAGGCACAAAGTTATAAGAAGATTTTGTTTGCTTCAATCTTCAAAGCGTTTATTATTAGCCTGGATAATAGCAATGATGATATACATTAAAAGAAAAGTACGACACTTTTAAGTTTAACAAACATGTTTCGGCAGATGCTTCTGCCATCTTCAGTGTGAATTGAACATAATGTATGATAGAATACTTATTATCATCTTATTCTATTTCATGGATAATTCCCTTTCAAATTTTTGGTGCTTTTTTTTTTAATTATGCTTTTAAAACAATTCTCGCATCAATGTTTACGTATTAGTTCTAATGTACTTAACATATTCTTAATGGAAATGATAGTACTGTGAGTATTATCAAGCAAAATTAGTGACTTTTTAACAGCTTACCCAAAAAGTTCATTCATTTTGGCGTTAAAGCCTTCGCAGACAGGTATACAATTGACGCATCGAACTGCAATAATCCCAAATTTTACTGAGAGAAGTATTTCTCATAAGGCTCAATGAAATAATTTCTAACCGTTTCATTCAATCCAAATAGAATGAATGGAAAAATTTCCATAAAAAAGAGTGTTTTGAAGGTTTGGTTTGGCAGTAATTATGCCATTTATTTATGATAAGAGACTTCAATATACAAGATGCATGTGAATTGAATTGGATTGAAACTACAAACACTTCCTGAGTAGTAATGATCGATAAAAGTGCAATAAATCATCAATGGCATAAGGTATTGGTAAGGAAAATTACCTTTAGTACACGTATGAAGTTGTGAAGCAAGTTATGCAGTTGCAAAGAAAGCCAGAAAAATTACAGACATACCCAACTAAAATTCCTCGCCTTTAAGCGGATTCCAACTTTGTAACGACTTCTTTAAGTAACAACGACTTGCTGAAGTTTGTGATCACATTCGCTGGAATTGTGTAACATCACTAATGTCAACGTTCGACCTGTTTACTTAATCACTTTATATTTATATAGCGAGCAACTGAATTAATACTGTTTTCTGTCTTTTAACAGATTTTGGCATCAGCAGCTGAAGCTTGCTTGAGTAGAACGGACAACAGTCGTCTTAAGAGAAATGATGAGCCATTATAACATTGTTGTACTTTTAAAAGGTGGAAAGACGTCATCTGTTCAGATTTCCTAACGTGAAACTATATGCCCCGTCCACACTGCGTCGGAGAAATTTGAAAACGGAGTTTTCAGTCTAAAAACGCATCAAATATTTTCCATCCACAATACGCCGGAGAAATTTGAAAACGGAGTTTTCACCCTGAAAACGCATCAATGTTTTCCGTCCACACTACGCCGGAGAAATTTGGAAACAGAGTTTTCACTCTGAAACCGTATCAAGTGTTTTCCATTCACACTACGCCGGAGAAATCTGAAAACACAGCAATCACCGGTCATTTTGTATTTGTGTTTGAGAAAAACCTACGCAGAGAAATGACGTGGTTATCGTGACGTCATCGTTTTTGAAAAGCTCCGTTTTCTAAATGTTTCCGTTCACACTGAAGCGCAAAGCCAGTGTTTCAAATTGCTCCAGTTTGAAGAGCGTTTTCTAAAAGCTTCGTTTTCGTGACGGATAAGTGTGGACGGTTGGCCTAACCGTAGAAATAAAGCTGCGTTTTCAATTTTTTTTTTTTCAGCGTAAGTAGATGCGGTCTTATCTCGAAAGTTCTTGTTAATTACAGTCAAAACCGTCTAATGCGGACACCAAACTTAGCAACAGAACTGTATGTCTGTATTATGGATTGCCATTATAAGATTAAATTTTTCCCTGCTCTGCGATTGTTTAGATTACTTAAACGTATTTTAAACATGCTTCATTTCTTTACTGCACTACCCTTTTGTCCAGAAAAGAAAAGAAACGAAATATACATCGGTGGTTGCCGCTCCACAAAGAAACACTTGCTGATAATTTACCTGAAATAATTTTTAGCAAATTTGTGGTCGACCGCACGATTTTCTGCGACAGCAATACAAATATTCATCGTTGGGGTTAGAGGATTATGTAGAATACTCATTTAACTACTTTTTTGTTGGTACACGCCCTTCACGTGGAATGCAGACACTGCCTGGTGAATTGCGAAACCGACAGGTCATATCCATCATTTTATGACGTGCTTGAAAAAAACTTTGAAAGTACTTTAGGAGACTTCCATAGATTCCTTTAAAAAAGTTATGTTACAGCCATTTTTCTGATTCACCAAACTTCCTTTAGTGAAGATAATATGTTAGCCATTACAAGGTAATACACGTACCGAGTCATACGAAAACAACGAGTAAGACTGGGAAACTGGACCATAAATATTTTTGGTCATTCTTTGTTTTTACGTATTTATCATAGTTTTCGAATCACTTAAAACACAGAACAATTGCTAGTGACTGGGCTACACAACATCGATCTGCCCAGATAGAGCTTTTCACTCACTTCCGTAACCGTTTATAGCAAGCAAGGGTGTTATGAAAGAAACACAACATTTTGGTCCAGAATACGTTGTAACAAAGTAACAAAAGCTCCTTGAACCGTTTCACGGGTTTTAGTTTGTTTCCAGCTTCGTTCGCTATTTTTATTGTGATTTGCCCTTCACATAACTTTGAGACCTTCCGTTGTGCTAAGCTGGTAACCACAATGTAGTTCCAAGTCCGTTTAAGGCAACAAGAACGAGCATTTGCTACTTTGTAACATTGCAATGCAACTAAAAGGAAATAACTCACAGTTCTCGATTTCCTTTTTAGCTTCAACAAATCGTCCTTCAGTGGTTTAGTTGAAGGCTTTAACTGATGCTAATTTATGCAAGCCTGCATTCATGAAAACTTAAAAAATACCTTCAATTCTATGTTTGGCACTTGAAATCCCTTTTTCCGTTAAAAATGGCCTCAAGTGAAAGCAACTCTCATACAATTTCTTTTGAGTAATCTCACGTTCACACAAGCTTCAGTTTGTACATAACACAACACTGATCTGAGTAAAGTTTTGGCATTTCCGGATCTATTTAACCTCGAACCACAATTGCGAAAATGAACTGAGTTATATTTGAGGATAAACATAAGCAGTTTATGGTCTAAAAACAACAAACTGTGGCAGGGTAAACGTTCGCACTATGTACCCCTTTCCTGTGTGGTATTTTTAAAAGAATTGCCCGAAAATGAGTCTGGCAGCCTTGGTCCCAGATCAGCTTAATCTGACATTCAGAAGTGTGATGTGAAATAATTTGTCTTTCCGATAACCACGACATTTCCAGCCTTCCTGCGTGGGCTTGATTCAGGATTGAAGATATGCTCTTAACTTTTTTTCGGACAACAATCTCTGGATTTTATTCGTACAAAATAATCAGTCATTTTTTATAATCCACAATCAGATGCAGTGAGCCCGGGAGAAAACATAAACATTCAATGTAACAGGGATTGTAAGTCAAAAAGTATTTACGTATAAAGGCTGCTAACCTAAACTGTTTTGAATGACAGGCACTTCCCTGCACAGAAACTTTGACTCATCACACAAGGTGATTGTTATCTTCAATCAAAACCCTTACATTTTTGTTTTTTCGCAAAGAGGAGACACTCAGTTTTAATATGCCTGAAAGATATCACTTTCATTCAATTCAGACCTCCTCAAAGATAACAAGGATAGCATTTTCCCGGCAAATTGTAATCTTTGGAACCAATTATTGACAACAAAATCTTTTTAATCTAAAATTGTTAGACAGTTTTCAAAAGGATTCAACCAGGCCAGAACATCTCGAACTCATCAAATTTGACATAACAGCATTAAAAAGGGAGTGTTATAGATTACCGACATTTTTTGCATTTTCCTGGTCCTAAAGCCAATCGGTCAATATTTTTATGGTCAGGATAGTGTGCCATTTACCTTAACAAGATAACGGTATTACAATATAGTTAGAAAATATCACGACCACAGGCGAAAAAATCCCAATATGAGCCTCATTAGCGTAGGTGGCTAAGAGTAAATTCCCTTTCAAGAGCTGACTATCCGAACATGAACAAAAATTCTATTTTCACGATAGGATCATCGCAACTGAATAGAACTGACTATTTAGTTCTTTCCAAGAAACAAGCGATCATAGATTAAAGTATAACAGCTTAACTTGGCCAGGGTTCTCGGTATTTCAATAACGTTGATTACAACCCACGCTAAAACTGAGCTATGAAAGATGTTTCTGCATTTGAAGTACGAGATTTACATTCTTCTGGAAGTGTTCCAATTTGCAAAAGAACTTTATTCCATCTTGTTCAGAAACAAGCTATACAAAAACGTGTGAATAAAACTGATATTCAAAAGGTAGTCATCGTGTTTAAATTTTATATGGAAAACTTGTGTTTAACTCAACTGCAGAATATCATTTCAGACAGACTTTCCTGAAATGCAATGGAGAAGCAAACATTAACTTGTAAACTAAAATCTTCCAGCAAATGAATCACTCACTGATTTCATTCATTTTGTTCAACTACTCCAGGCTGTTATGATTATTTTGCAGATGATGTGTGGTCAAATTACATCGTTGCGCTCTTAGACAGTGTGTGTCAACAAGTTTCTTCGCCTACTCCTGTTTAAACTAGATTCGCACGCATGCGCAAAGGGTACTTGGGACAGCTTTCGTGACCAAACACTAGGTCCCAGGCTGCTGGCCGGGCCAAGTTAATCCAACATGGCGGCAACGCTCTGAATCCAAAGTGAGGACTTTCGGTTCCCAAGTGTTCACGTTCATAAATAACAATTTGCTTGTCTTTAACTGAATGACTGTAGTTTTTTTATGTCTTTTTAGTTAAACAAGAATATCTCTTTCACAACAAAGCTTCCCGCGAATCCAAAACCTATTTAGTGATCTTAGACTCTTTTAATTAGTTAAATGAATGATCGTACTGAAGATAAAAAGTCTGAAAAAAAAATCATTTAACATAACACAGCGAGAAACCAGGTTATCAGCTTTATCTGCGGAGAGTAGGTTAATCAAACCATGCAAGACGCCATCTCAAATTAGTTCTATGGAAATATGGCACTGAATATTCCAGAAGATAAACAACGAATTACCATCTCTCACGCGATCTCTGTGAACTCACGCGATTTCTACACTGTGCAAGTTCCGCCGGCTCTCCGCCTTTTTCAGTCTGTTTTCCGTGCTGCCTTAGTTTCTCTGGATTCCTCGAAAGAAAAATCAGTCAAACTGTATTCAAAGCAGTGAAGAGAACTTTCATCTGAAAAAATTAAGAAAAACTTACTTTTTTTACTTTGGAAGACGAAATCTATCTTAATAGCATGGTGGCAGAATGCAATAACTATAAAAGCTTGGGGCATTGCCAAAAGTTTCAAACAGTTGCCCTATAAGGACTAACTGAATTTACTACAAGGAAATGTAGTTGTCAATGCGACCAATTCGATCTTAATTAATATACACGGGCCGGGACCTTCAACTTTTATCGCGTGATAAAAGACGAAAATAACCAGNATTCAGAGGACCGTTAAAAGTGTTACAACTGAGATAGTTCCTGACATTGCCAGCCATAATAAGCAGTTCTCTTTGGCGTTTAAGAGCTGACAATTTTATGTATGAGAAGACTTCTGCTAAAAAGGTAATTTGTCGCTTGTCACTTCTCGTTTCAACAGATTACAAACAGGATTCACTTGTTTGGGGCATTTTCACCAGTTTAGAGTTGGGTTGGACCGGTGCTGCTTCAGTTTCAACGTGTATTGAGATTAGTCAAAGTTCATTTGAACGTACTGAATACACGGAGGTTTTCTTTACAAATATTTAGCGATAACAGGAGCAAATTGATTGCCAGTGAAAGTTTACTTGAATACTTCCCCAGATCATTGGTGAAGATAACTGTTAATGCAGTAACGTACTTTGCCAGTCAGTACACACAATTTTCAACCACCAAATGAATCCCTGCCTGTACTGTAGGTCTGCCGGGTGATATCAAGCTTTCTTTCCATATTCACGTCAAAAGTAAATTTGAGTAGAAAACGGCAAAACATTTTCTGGTAGTTTCTGACGGTAGTTTCACTCAGTTATAAACTACACCGAGCTGTCAGATTTTAAGCACGTTTTATTGTAACTACGTGTCAACCAAGAGCCAACCGCAACACGTTTATAGTCTCAGCTTCAACAGTTTAAGTTTATCACGCCATCTTTAAAAACACTTACGAGTTTTTATAACATTTAAACTGATGGTTAAAAGTCGTAAACGTGAGGTGTTTACCACA